TGTATGAAACGCTTGACAGTAATAGCGTACACAAATCCAGACCTGACTCACATTGTGTGAAAGTCTGACTCGAGCAGCTGATGGATTTTGGAGGATGGAGGAGAGATCGGTGAGGTACTGAAAACAGACATAATGCACGTAGAATGGCAGGGCTAATGCGGGATCTGCTTTGTTTATCTCACTAATGTTTTTCCCTTTTTTATTTCAAACTGAACATGTCTAGATGAGAGTACACTTCATAAAGATTGACACAGTAGTAAATGCTCTCTGAAAGTCCCAGCTTCGGTTTACATCCCGTGTCATCCACAGTGTCCAAACAGCTGGAATAAATAGCATTGTCTCTTGTCAGTTTTTGACTACTAAAGATAAACTGAACAAAAAAAACCTATCAATTTTAGTTCTAATGCCCCGATGGAGACAGGACATTACGACCAGCCTGTGTGTGGATGACAACCACCTCTTAAACGAGGACCTGTGGAGGCCTAGCTTAAATTGTTTCCCCCATCTTGTTAGTCATAGCACAGCGTGCGTAGCGCCGTTTTACATTTATACTTCCCCTTTTATAAGATGCACTGGCACAGTTTTGCACTGCCAGTTTATGGCATTCCCACTTAATTCAAAGTTAACAGACTGTCTGGAAGTTGAAGGGGAGAGATGGGGAGAGATAGCTGATTACTAAACATAGGACTAATGTAGAGGCATGAGGCTGGGGCCTTTATTTGTTTAACCTGAATGTGGATTGGCATACAGAGATGAGGAAGCCAGGAGGAACGTTGGCGGTTCTATCCTCAGCTCCCGTAGTTTGCTGAATACCAAGCTGCACTCTCTTTCACACTCTGTATACAGTGTGTGAATATATCATAAGCAGGCATTCCTTTATGGAAGTGGGACAAATGTTTGCGTGAATTGCTCCATTAAAAATGCATTAAAAAGGGCTTTGTAGAGCTAGAGCACATTCTTATTTTACTACATTCACTCAGACAGTTTTAATGGTTAATTATGCATCAAAGAGATCAAATGAAAGAAAAATGCCTCTTTTTCTTGCTATAAAACACTTATTTGGGTGTCTGAAGTCACTGCCAACTTTAAAACTCATAGAAAAACACAACCCAGTTGTTTTGTACCATCTCTGTCTACTGCTGGCCTCAGAGGTTATGATCTCAGATGAATTAGTAAAAGACTGTGTATAGGCTGCAAAAAGGTCGAGCAATATCAATCGATCAGTTCTAGCTGTCTGTTCTTGGATGTCAGATGGAGGGAAGTGAAACTTTTTGATAAATAAGTTGTCAAAGCTGGTATATATACTGTGTGTATAAATATGGGTGTCTGAGTTCCCCTCCTAGAAACCGCCGCCTCCGTGACCTGACCTCAGAGAATGAGATGAGAATAGATATATCTGTAAATATGTATACTTCACGATAACGAAACCAGCACTGGGACCAAATGTCAGTGCGTAAACAGGTAGCCACATCCTGCCCCCCTCCTAGGGGCCCCCAATAAGCAGTCCAAGCTGGGTTTTTTTTTAACCATTTCCTGTGAAGTAAAACAAATTCTCCAATGTACTTTAAAACCAGATTTAACTGTGGATGGATGGACCCACATGGATGGCCCACATGGATGGCCCACATGGATGGACACTTGTCTGTGGTTGGTGTTATTGTAGAATACAAGCGACTCCTTTCTGTGTGCCAGGATTTTATATTCTTTTAGTACTACGTTGATTGTTTTTTTTCATTTGTAAACAAATGTTGTAGCATGTTCTACTTTAATAATACTGAACAGGCCTAAGACAACTGGAGAGTGTCTCAGTTAGGCCTAATAAATTAATCTATGAATGCAGCCTTGCTGCTGGTGGTTGAGGACTGGCCTCACATGTATGGATTCCAGGGTGGTCCAGACAATTTCCCACACAAAACACACTCTGTGTCCTCAAATCCAGACCTCATCACACATCACTAACAGGTACAAAGAGCGCGTCCACACACAGACTTCTGTTCTTTGTCGTCAACACTTGGGCTCGCTAAAATTCAACTCTCCCTCCCACGCACACGTCCGAGGATTCTTCAGAAAACATGTCCTCCGCATTTTCACTTTTAACACTGCGACATATCTCGACACCCAGGTGCAAGACGGCTAAATGCCCTACTTTCTATGCGCTCTCTGTGTTTCTTGCTCAATCTGTCCCTTTTACAAGACCCATTCCCCAGCTGTTGTGCACACACACACACACATATACAAACACACACACACACACAATGACAGGATCTCCCACTGCAGGCTCCAAGGGTCTGATGAAAGTGTTGGGAATGTGCACTGAGAGGTCACTGACACTTCCTCCACTTTCTAGTACTGACGACCCGCCTCCGGCATCTAATACCCGGCTGATTGCTCCCTCCAGACGTTTAATGGCCATAAACTGCACATGACAAGCAGAATAGATGGGCTTTCATCTGCTCTGGTAGTTGTCACACAGGCTCCGTCACTGTAGATTTACAGTGATTTATAGTGCATTAGGGCTGCTGCTGTCATTCAGCTGCTTCTTGTATTGCCACTAATGGATATGTTACTGCTTTATCTGGATTTAAGTGCCGATTAAAAACCTCAAAATGACTTGCAGGTTTTTATTGTGTCGGGGGAAAAAATCTACACCGTCACCAAAGAAAGACAATGCGAAAGAGTGGTTCTTAAAAAATCTAAGGGATGATGATGATGGTGCCTCTGCATCCCTCACATCAACATAGATCTACTAAGAGAAGAAATAACAACATTAAATTTGACTTGAAAAATAATCTAACTACTGGGGGCTTTCTTTTAGTGAGTCAAAGATACACACACAGAGTTGAAAACTCAAAGAAAAAATAGTTCTCCAGTGTGATGATTACTTGCCAGTGTAACTTTTTTGACAAAAAATTCAATGTGCAGAAATTAAACAGACCCATCTGGCTTGTCTGGGGCAGTAGACCGTCAGCAATAATTCAATTCAGCAAACAAAATGTACCATTGCTGTTTTACTTCAACAACATTTTAGTTCCACTCCAAGCAAACGTGGGAGCAGATGTTCCTTATCAGCCAATATTCAGGAAAACGGACATGTAAACAGAGTGGACAAAACCAATTTATTTGATTGATTATTCCTTCCTTTATGCAGCCATTTGTGGGCCTTACCAAAACTACCCATTTTGATCATTAGCAATGAGAGCACTTACCAGAAAGCCACGATTTCATGTGAGTCCTCTGTATGCTGCTTTCAAAGAACAATCCAATTCCGCTGATTCTGATGTTACAACATGGAGTACTAAAGAATACTTTTACTGTCAAACCCAAACTGAGAGATTCTTTTGTTTCGTTTGAGAGCCATAATGCAAATTTGAAACAAATATCTAAAATTGAAAATTAGTATTTTGAGCCCGGATGTCAAGATTTTGAATTTAATGTGTGAAAATCTAAGATTAGTTCAAAATAAATGTAGAAGTTATTTCACTGCAGCAACTTGTTCGAAACCTCTAATTCATGGTACATTACCTCAAATGCCACTAACAAAGTTAACCTTTTTTAGACATTCTGATCAACAAAAGACTTGAAAATAGTGTACAGAAATATACCAAACTATTGTATCCGTGTACAACACTCAACATATCTGGATGTGTCATTTATTGGGTCTGGTTTTTGGACTGTGGGAGGACTGTGGACTGGTTTCCCCAGGAACCCGAACCCAGAACCTTGCTGTGAGGAAATGGTGCTAACCACCACACCACCATGCCGCCAGTTTATCTTACATCTAACTTTAATTCTGTCATTCAGCACTCGGCTGTTGTGTTTAGTCTTTTGTTCCACTTGCTGCACTCGCTGGCCTCTCATCCTGAAATGGCTCCAAAGGTTACAGCTCTGCAGAACCGTCTGTTATCCATATCATGATGCATTTGCTGCGTGTCACGGCCTTCAAAACTGCAGCTCCCTGATCAAATTTTCACACGCCGTGCTTGAAATAAAATGTTGTTTTGTCAGGCTCCGGCTGTCAACCCTCCCTCATCTCCCAGGCGTATCCCCTTATTTTTCATGAGAGCTTTTGTAATGTGAGGGTTTTTCCAACCTCGCAAATTAATTCAATAAGAAAGCAAAAAAAACAAAAGAAAAGAAAAAATGATATTTTTAGCTCAGTTTTTCCAAGTGAAGAATCTCTGTTGTGCCACTGCAACAAAGCCTTACAGGATTTGGATGGTCACAGCAAAACAAATGAAAATAAAAGGCTTTCACATAAGACAATGGCTCCGGGCCTAAAAACGTTGAAAACTTGCCTCCATCTATTTTCTCCCGTTCCTTCCTCTCGTCTCTCTCTGCCTTTGTCTCTATCTCACTTACACACAACAACAACATACAAACATGGCTGAGTCCAACCCTGAGGTCCTGTTTCCGGTCTGGAAAGAATGAGTGAGACTAGCCAGCCTCTGTTCAGGACTGGAGCTTATTACACACCGACACACACACTGACACACACACACACAGACACACTCACACTCTCCTGTGAGTGTTTTCATTTGTCTGTGTGCAAGTTGGCTGTGTGCATTATGTTATTGCTGTTTCTACCACATTGCCTTGGCCTCCTCAGATGAATTTCTCAAGTATGAACATCCGTACAACTCAACCTGAATTTTAAATCAATAAACAAAAAAAAAAGTAGTTGATTTTTGTTTTGTTGACTCAACGTGCAAGCACACACATACACACAAAGATAGAGGTTACTAAACCAGTTAAATAAGAGTATTCGCCAGTCCAATGATGATAAGCTTTCTTAGATGTGCTTAAAGTAGTTCGTTCAGGATTTTTGTGATGTGGGATCTTATCTTCTGTGATATATGACTGTTGTTTTGAGTTGTAAGAATGTCTTTCATGTCATGTCTTTTCAACAAAATGAAAATGTGTGTGTCGCTTTGTTTAGAAAATGTAAATAAGCTTCTAAAAAGTGTCTTTTTTCTCTGATTTCAGTTAGCCCTACTAGCACCATGGATGAGGAACAGTGCTACTACAATGAGACCATTGCCTTCTTCTACAACCGCAGTGGCAAGCACCTCGCTACTGACTGGAACACGGTCAGCCGGCTGGTGATGGGCCTGGGCATCACCGTTTGCATTTTCATCATGCTCGCCAACCTCCTAGTGATGATCGCCATCTACGTCAACAGGAGATTCCACTTCCCGATCTACTACCTGATGGCCAACCTGGCAGCTGCTGACTTCTTTGCCGGACTGGCCTATTTCTACTTGATGTTCAACACGGGCCCGAACACGCGGCGCCTGACCGTGTCCACGTGGCTCCTGCGCCAGGGCCTGATCGACACCAGCCTGACGGCATCCGTGGCCAACCTGCTGGCCATCGCCATCGAGCGCCACATCACGGTGTTCCGCATGCAGCTCCACACGCGCATGAGCAACCGGCGCGTGGTGGTGGTGATCGTCATAATCTGGACCATGTCTATCGTGATGGGGGCCATCCCCAGCGTGGGCTGGAACTGTATCTGTAGCCTTAAGTCTTGCTCCAACATGGCGCCCCTCTATAGTAACTCCTACCTGGTCTTCTGGGCCGTCTTTAACCTGGTGACTTTCGTCGTCATGGTGACTCTGTACGCCCATATTTTCGTCTACGTGCGACAAAGGACCATGAGGATGTCCCGGCACAGCTCAGGGCCTCGACGCAACCGGGACACAATGATGTCCCTGCTGAAGACTGTGGTGATTGTGCTGGGTAAGAACGGTCACTCATTTCTTTCTCTCTGTTTGTGTTTGCTGTTGGAATGGTTTGAGCCCACTTACATCTCAATATCCATGGGTAACCGCAAGACAAGACAAGACAAGACAAGCTCTCACCTTAACTTGAGCACGAAGCACCTGCCTCCTGTTTGAATTAGCTCCCCCAAAATTAATATGACTGCCACTGTGACTATCTGTCAAACACGAGTGGTCAGCGAGCGTTTTCAGAGGTATAGATTTTATTAACGGAATGTGTCGTGATCTGTTCAGCTCATTTTTCAGTAGCTCAAAAGCATAATTTCCCAATAATTATGAATATATAGTTCTGTTTATGAAGCTACCTACAGTGGGGTAAATAAGTATTTGACCCCTTGCTGATTTTTCAGGTTTGCCCACTTACAGAGAATGCAACAATCTATAACTTTAATCATATGTAGATTCTAACAATGAAAGACAGAATCCCAAAGAAAATTCCAGAAAATCACATCATATGAATTTATAAAAATTGATAACCATCTGATGAGGAAAAATAAGCGTTCTTTGTAAGTGGGCAAACCTGCAAAATCAGCAAGGGGTCAAATACTTATTTCCCCCACTGTATATCTTATATATCTATAAGAGACTCTTAACTGAACAGCAACACTGAACAATGAAGTTGTTGATGAGTTCTGCTAACTGCTGCATTCAGCCAGACCACAGTGTCTAGCACGGCCTGAGGCTTCACACGGAGTGAATGATCTCATCTGTTGCCGTTCTCCTCAGTAGAGTACGCAATTATTTTCACACATCCTGACTTCTGGTTCGATTTTTCGGGACACTTGTATGTTAATAAAATGTCTCATTGACAGGATCAAAAGCAGGTATCTGCCACAGAACTACAATATTGAGAACACTGTGTAAGCTTAAAGGTATGATGTGCTTCCTTCAAAACAATTGTGCATTCTGAGATGATGACATCAGCCAGTGTTGTTTAAAGAACCCCAATGCCTTGCAGCTCTATTGTGCACTTTAGTTGTATTCCGCTTGGTCACGTGGTTCACAAAAAATAATTCTCTTGTGATAAACAAGGTCTGTTTTATAAGTGACACTGAGCAGTGCGTGTCGTTTGACAGTTTTATGTCTCAGAGATACGTCTCCATGTTTGCAATGATCCAGGCCTCTTTGGTGTAATTAACTGTGCGCCTCTTGCTATTCTTCACTTTCCTTTTGTCTTTTTTTTTTTTTTTTGCAATGTCCGATGAGAGCCAACTCAGCTGATCTTAGGTAAGTTAGAGTAAGAATTGTGGGAAAAGTGCTTCTCGGTGCCTGGAAGCAGGATGTGTTGGTCCCAGACAAAACATACCACAGGATTCCATGTGATTTGTCTTCTGCGTGCTGTGTTATCTCATCCTGTTGCATTTGTTGTCTTTACTCCAGACTTAATTCAAAGCAGTGGACAGCAGGATCTTCTCCGTTATCCACAGTTTGTGTAAAAGTGGGGAGAGTGTACTCTCTGTTGCTCAGAGGAACTGTGTTTTTTGACCTGAGAAGGACGGGATTTTATATCCCATCTGAAAACTTTACCTTGTTTCTTCATGGCTGCGTGGTTTAGATGAGATAGTGTCATAGACTGATGGATCAGCAAGCTTATGGCTGGACTTTTTGCCATTGCCTTGGTAAATGATGGTCAAATAAATTACCTTTCCCAGGATGGCGACTCACTAAAGAAAAGAAGCATCGTCCAAACTTTATACTCACCTATTCTGTTACTTCAGACTTTTAAAAAAGGCACAACAAAACAAAAAAATCTGATCTTCATGTTCCATGTTTTCTAAGATGCTCCTTCCTTTGACATTTCAACATACCACCAAAGAAGAGTGGGCAGTCACATGTTAACATTTGCTGTCACCCTGAAAATCCAGTATAAATAACGTGTTTCAAATACAGCTGTGCTTCAATTGGAGAGTTCTCAGCAAAGAATAGTTTGTGAGCCATTTGGATTAACTTGATTTCTGACGTTGATCAGTTATTTCTGATGTTGATCAGTTAAATAGTAGCACAGTCAGTAATGAATGAATTGCCAGAGCCTCTGTGATGAGGTGGCAGTGTTGTTCTGTTTAACATTTTTCTGTGATTGCTTTATTTCGGCCCTTCATAACCGCTGCTGGATTAAAGGTGTAACTTTTTACCCAAAGGCCTGGGAATGTTATGCAGCACCTGAAATAATCAGAAAAGCCCTTTTTGACCAGCTCGATAATCTCCCAAGAGTCTGAGCAAAATAACGGATAAAGCTACAGGAACTAGCAGAACTGTTAATGGAAGTACAGAGAGCCAAGGAGGACGGTTACCTCTAAGCTCACTCCTCCCTGGACACCTGGACACCCATAGTCGCAAAACTGCCCTATGGGCTTCAAGAGAAATGTATTTCTGCTGGTTGAAATCACAAAGAGGAAAATAGAGAAAGATTTCCACCATTTGAGTTCCTCAGCAAGTTTGTGTGCAACGAAGATCGTAAATTAAATTATCCTAGCTTGGCTATCCTAGGTACTAGTGACTTGCCTGCAAAGTCTAAAAAAACCTTTCTTTAAAACCACAGAGTACCCAATTTCAGTCCACAAGACGAACATAGCCTCAACAAGTATAAACAAAGGAGTCAGTGACCCGAACAAAACAGTTGCTACACTGCAGTGAAGACAACACGGTTCTTGTTCAAACTTTTTTATATACATTTTATTAGATTTGGTTCTAATAACACAACATTACGGCTGAATTCAGTAGCATAATAGCTGTAAAAGTATTTTGAAATGAATATTATCCTGGATACTCCAAATTACCCCTAGAAGTGCATGTGAGAGTGTGGTTGTTTGTCTCTGTGTGGTTGTGTGATGGACTGGCAGCTGGGATAGGCTCCAGCCCTACCCCATTCTCACAACCCGTGACCACATTTAGTATAGAAAATGGAAGGATGGATTATTATCCTCTCTTATGTAGAAAATGGCTGTATGATTTTTTTATTTAGTTATATATTGGAGAGTTTACTGCAAGTTTACTGGAATCTTGAAGCACACCTGTTCCTGGTGAAGCAGCACTTTTGAGTGTGGGTGTGATATGTTTTTGTTCAGTCTGGAATCCTAAAATCTGCAGTTTGTGAGTGAGGTCATTTTGAATCACTTAAAAGCATATTGGATACTTGGTCCCTCCCATCCATCGCTTTTCTTTTTTAACATAATTCATTCAAGTGCTAATTCACATGTCGGGAAGGGTTTATTTCGGAACATTGTTTTTTTTTAAAGATCCTTTTTTGCCTGTTCATGACTGACACAGCCAAGTCTAGGAGCATGACTTGTTCAGTTTCCAGTAAAATTGTAGCTAGATTTTTGTTTTGAATTATTTGTTTTTGAGGAAAAGATTGTCATGAATTCAAGCTTTTCTGCAAGTAAATCCCACCGCATGTCCATAGTGTCCCATCTCCTGACCAGATGATAGTAATTGCTCCCCAGCTGCCTGTTGTCCTTCGTCCATTTGTCCCCTCAGGATACTGGGAAAATGGGGGGAAAAAAAACAGAACGGCCCACAAACACTGAACACATGTGCATAAACAATCTGATACAGTGTGAATAAAGTGAGTCTCCCACAGTCAGATAAACCTCCAAGCTTATTAGAGTACCCTGGGACAAGAACATGGTTCCATTCACATAAACAGCGATGTGATAATGTGGGAAAACAAAACCACAATTACATGTTTTTCTGCATTTTGCACATAAAACGCAAAGATGGGATAAGAGAGAAGTCTTTAAACCCGGCTCTAGGTGGTCGCAAAAATAACACAACACAAGAAAAACAACAATTAGAGTCCTTGGAACATGATGGGACATTTTGATGGGAGTAGATGAGCTTGCTATTGTCAGATGGCTTCAGTTACAAGAGAAGTCACCACTAGTTCATGGCATTCTTTTTATAGAAACCATTGCCAATACACCAAGCCTAGAAAATGGTCAAACACCTAAACAAATATTAATTTCAATAATCTTCAGTACTATAGTACTCATGTTGGATTAACAATGACCCCTTACTCCTGTTTCTGTCTGGATGTAGGTTTTTTTTTGTTTAACACAAGGGTGCTTTGCCAATAATTGGATCATCTTAAAGTTCCTAATGTTGCATGAGCTCACATTGTCAGACAGAGTGGAGCGCCAGGCCATACCATCCCCGAACACGTGCGAGCAGATGGCGTATCACCCACGTCCATTTGTTTCAATATCGCATTGAATAACCAACAAATGCTTACCCCGAGGACCAGCTGACTTTAATGTCCAGATTTCAAAAGGAGGGGACATAGAGTAACGGTTACATGCTGGCAAAAGTTCCCTCCGCATGCACGCTTTTCTGTAATTTCGCAGCTGTAGTGCATGTGTGTTTCCTGGCAGAGCGGGAGCAGAACCAATCAGGACCGTCCGTGAGCAAAAAGCTCCGTTATACAGCCTCCAGTGTCACCTGTTTTCATCTGTTTAGAGTGTGTGTGTGGGTGTGTGTGTGTGTGTGTGTGTGTGTTTGTGTGTGTGTGTGTGCATCTGTCTGCGTCAGGAGATTTTTGTGCACAGTGCAGCTTTTCTAATCACTCACAATAGCCGCGTTTGTGATTCCCGTTTCACATCAATTAGTTGCTCAATCCGGGCAAATTCTCATCCATCCTTGAACGTATGACTAAAAGGGGGTGAGAGGAAGTCCGGTGCCACGGGAACCGGACCGCTGCCTGAGAAATTCCAAACTGCGCTTTGTCGCTCAGGAATGTCAAGGCAGCCCTCCTGAAGACTCGGATTCTACTCTCTAGACAGAACAATAACAATGCCACGCTCCTCAATCTCTACTCGATTATTGTCCTTTCAATACGAAACAAAAACAACAAAATATGATTGAAGAATTTCAATCCTCACCATTCGTTTTACTTTTGATTACAATTTCAGCACACAGTGTGTCCTGTAACCTTATCGCCAGAAAAAGGCATTACAGTTGAAA